TTCATATAAATCAATTGTGATTTCTGGATCACTAAAATCCAAAGCATTTTTAATATGTTCATTAATTTCTGCTTTATTTATAGTTTTAGCTGCAGAAGTATTATCTGTTAACATCTGATAGATTGTCCAAAGTAATGATAGCTTAGTTTTCAGAAGAAGTAGATCACAGGTACGTAGATAATTTATTTGCATTGTTAGTATATGATAATGAGATGTATCAGCCTGTAGTTCATTTATAATCTGTTTATCTTCTTATAAAATCATCATCTCATTAGCTTATTCGTCAATTTTCTATATCAAAATCACATTAAAAGTATTATTTCTAGAATTAAACCAATACTCTCTAATTGTAAAGGAAAATGTGTGAGATAAGCCTTAAATATAATGCATCCTTGCTTTATATACAAATTATTTCATTAGCTTATATTGATATATTAATAATAATTTGATTTTTACTTACACAAAATTAATTGATAAGTATTCTTCAATATCGACTACTTTTCACATTGGTAAATTGATGAACAATTATTTAAGATTATGATATTTGGTCTTGTAACCCAAATATTTTGCTTATAGACTTTGATTATTATGACTAATTAATGGAATATATAGGAGATTTAATGCATAATTTACAGTAGTAATATCATACGTTAATATCACAGAAATCTAACATAATTCAAAACAGTAACAATAAAATTGTCAAATAGATCATAAAGCCAATTAAAATTTGCCATTAATATCTATAATGATGTAGTGTATAGAGCAAGAACTTGATAATATAAATTTAGTTCATTAGCATCAAAGGATTTTTGTACTTCTTTATACAATTCTGGATCTGCATAACCAAAAAATTTAAGAAAGAGTTCAGGTATGTGATAATTATACTTTTTAAATTTCTGGTAACCACACATGTCAATATACTAGATCATTTTAGTCAAATTATTAATAAATTGCTTTCCTTACATATTAGCATACAATTGAGTGGACCATTTTTCATTATGATAGTAAATCTAATTTACAAAATCACTGTGTAATTTTATTTACAATTTGATATACTTGATTGTGAAAAAATTGGTAGATGTCGCTTATTGATGTGTATTTTGCATCAAAACTATAAGGCTATTTTTCTGTATTACTGAATTAGAAATTACATTGTTATCAGTTTTGAGCTAATATTGTATATATATTTTTATACTTGTTGTAAGTTTTATAATATTACAAATAGGAATGACTTGAATTGTAACTGCAGTTAGTATTTTACTTATCTTAATACGTTCTATTACTTCAGAACTTGAAATAATAATATTATATTCAGGAAATAGTTCTTTAATTATAAGTTTTATAAAAAAAATCTTTTATCATTATTTCATAAGAAATAGGATAAATGTACCATCCATGAAGAACATTTGATCCTTTAGAATACATATATTTATAAATAGCATTTTTTAAAGAGGTTTATTAAAGAGTTTGAAGGAAAGATCATTTTTTTTCTTTCTTTTTATTAGTTTATATTTGCGAATTATGTGATCAAAGTTTACTATGCATTTTGATTTTATTTAGAATGCAGTCATAAAAGGAAGTCGTTCAAAACATAGTTGCCTTTTGCTTAGCTAATAAATATTACTTTATAGGTTTTTAATTTTACTCTTTATAAGTAAATTGCTTTAGGGATACAGTTATAAAAGAAAGTCATTCAGAAGCATAGTTAGAAAAGAAAAGATGCTTAGAAGTGTAGTCAGAAAAGGAAAAAGCATGATCAATATTACTTTATAAATTTGATTTATAAGTAAGTAATTATATAAAAATAAAATATACATGTTAATCAACCAATTCAGTAAATAATTTTTCATATTGAAAATGATAAATTTTTTGAAAATATTTTTTATAAATACGTTAAATAAAATAATAGTTTATTATATTAATACGTAATATATATTTAATATAAAGTTTTTGACTGGGTATTTGGATTGTGAAATAATAAAATATTAAGTAAAATTTTAAAATTTTTTTTTTTAAAAATAAAAATTTGGATAGCTGGATCATATGATTTTAACTTCAGATATGAAAACTAATTATATAAGTTTGTATCACCTAATTGCGATATTAATAAAAATTGGGTTATAACTAGTTACAACTGGTAACAAATAAGCATCATATAGTTGTAACTAGTTGTAATGCTATCTTTAGTCAATATCTTATTTAGAATTAAACTAAATAAGATATATAATTAGAAATATAATTATTTTAAAAGCTTGGTTTACCAATGATCAAGTTATCTTTTCTATAAAATCTAATAAGAAAAAAAAATTACCTAAAATTTCAAATTGATATGACTAATTATTGAAGAATATACCAATTGTATTCAAATAAGAGATATTTTGAATCTTAATATTTAAATAAATTTTTATTTAAAAGATTTAAAAAATTATAATTGAAAGTTATTGAAAATTAAATTCTAATATATTAACTTCTTCAATACTTAAGAATATTTAGATAGTTTATTATTAAATAATATAGATGCGTGAATAATAATTAGTCTTAGATTAATTTAAATATAATAGCTAATATAATATATTATATAAGAATTCAAGTAAGAAAAAGAATGTAAAAGAATAATTAGAAGCTTATAAATTTTAAAGGAAATAAATAATAAAAAAAGAAATTAGAAATGTATTAGCTAAAAACATTTTAATAAAAATATAAGAAATATATAGTAAATAGTAATTTTAGATTATTACATATATTTAGTAATTTTCTATTCTTGATTAATCTTAAATAATATCAATTACTCATCAATCCAATTTTCAAGCTTATCTTTAAACTATAACTCTTTAGATAAAGATAAAAAATTTAGTAAAAAATAAAAATAAATCAATATTAAAATCAAGATATAATTAAAACTTAATATAATAAATTTAATATTTGCACTAATCAAACTTTCATTATAAGAAAATTTGTTATTACTAAAATAAATAATTCATTATAATAATAATATTATTAATTAAACCAATAAATAATCTCATGATGATAAGTTAAAAAAATTTATTTATTTTATTTTTTTAATTTTGAATACAAGATAATTTTCTATTTTATTTTTTTGTTTCACAAATTTCTTATTTTATTTTTTTTTAGTTTTTTATTTTTAATATATATTTTTAATCTATATTTTTTTATTTTTATTATTTTAATAAAAAATCAGTTTATATCATTCTTAGATTTTACTTTTATTTTAATTTCATGTCAGAATATTTGACTTTTAATCTCAATTTTCATACTTTATCTTGAAATATAATCATTAATATTTTATAATTTTTATTTTAGATTTTTCTTAATTTGTTATGATAACTTAGCCAAAATGCCTATTAATTTCTAATTGTATATTTTAATATATTTACTTAAAATTAGTATATAATAATTTTTTATTTTTTTTTTATTTTTTTATTTTATTAATTTAAATAACATCTACCTATATTAAAATCAAAAAAATATTATTTGTATTAGCATTTAAAGTATATAAATCACTATTATTATTCTTACTGCAAATCAAATAATATCATTTACATAAAATATTAAAGCTATAAATCTAGTATTGGTAAAATTTTATTTTTTATTTTTATAATTTATTTTTAATATTTTTTTTAATATTTAATTTTTTTTAAATTTATTTTATTTTTTTATTTATTTTCTATTTTTTTTAGTATTAGTTTTTTTAGATCTTATAAATTAACTGATAAGTTAAATTCCTTTTTTTTGGTATAGATAGACTTCTCTAAAAACAATTACTAATATTTTTTTCTTTCTTTTAAAACCAGTTTTTTAGATTTTTAAAATAAACTGATAAGTTAAAATTTCTTTTTCTTAAAATGAGTGAGCTTCTCTAAGAATGTTATTAATATTATTCTTTTTTTAAGTACTGACTTTCTTTGAATTTTAAAAATTAACTAGTAAATTAAATTCCTTTTTTTTAGTATGGATAAGCTTCTCTTAAGATATTTATTAATATTCTATTCTTCTTTTTTTAGGATTGGCTTTTTTTAGATCTTAGAAATAAACTGATAAGTTAGAATTTCTTTTTTAAAAATAGGTGAACTTTTGAGAATATTAACTAATATTTTTTTTCTTTTTTTTTTAGGATTGCTTTCTTTGAACCTTGAAAATTAACTCCTTTTATATTAAATAAATCAATAATTGCTTTAAAATAATTTTTGTATCTTTACTTTTTAATTGATATAAACAATATTTAAAATAAATAATGAGATAGGGTTTGCAAAAAATATCTGTACTTTTATCAACTATAATGTCAAATAAAAATTGCTTCAAATTCTTTCCAAATTGTTTCTTCAATTAAATTAAAGATAGTAGATTATATTTCACATCTAGACACATTATTTTATAAGTATTTATGATGCTAATTGAGGTTATTCAAGAATTTCTACAAAGTTTTATAATTTTTTAATGAAATATCATTCTCTGCTATCCAAAAAATTATTTTCATTAAAGCATTATTTGAAACCTTAATAAATTCTGCTCTTGCTTTCTCAAGACTTGTTGCTTCAGTATGATCTTTTGTTGAAGCATATTCTGATAAAGCAGAAGTTTTAAAATTTTTTGAACCTAAGATAAATAATTTTGGTTAATATTATGATTAATTAAATAAATAATTTTAATAAAAAAATTTAAAAAAAAAACTGAAGGTTTTCAAAAAAAAGCCTTAAATTTGGAAAAAAGGTTATAAGATAAGCGCGTTTTTTTCTTTTTGACACTCAAATTTTTTGTACTTGTTTATTTTCATTTGGTAATTGAAATAATTTTGCTAGAAAGTCTTGTGTTAAAATATCGTTCGATGCGCAAAAAAAAATTTTATCAAAATTATATAATTTACGTTGAAATAGTAGATCAATCACGTGTGGGAACAGACAACCACATGCTTACGCGTTTACTAAGAAAAATTTTGAGTAACGAGAAATTTCAAAATTATAAAAACTTTATTTTATTTCTCAATGACTTCCGATAGCTCAGCTTATTTCAAAGAATGTACGAATTGGTCGCTTATTTTCTTTTTTAAATTTTAGAAAAAACGAGGATAGCTTCACAGGTGATAAAGCTATTGAACACTTTATTTACAGGACAGCACTAGAAAAAATTATTTTGTTGGATGATTTAAATCGCGTTAACGCTAAGAAGTGTCTCATTAGATTTGAAGTAAGTTAATGTTATTTAAACAAGAGATACGCGTCAAATACATAGTCAAAGTTGGAATTCGGAGAAGCAGGCTGAGTCCGCTTTGCCTGTGGTAGTTGGGATCCGCCTCCCTCCGAATATATATCTCTGTATATATTGCTCTATTTTGCTACTAGGAGGTCCGCCTCACTGGTAGTTAGGCTCCGGCCATTTCATAGCGTCTAACTTATTGTATTTGACTGATGTTTATAATTTCTTCAACTTACAATATATATTAACATTACTTTTATTTGAAGATGAGAAATCATCCATCCCTATAAAGAAATTTTGGAAAATAACTAAAATGGAATCTACTAAGGTTAGTGAACCATGATCTTTAACTTATGCCATGATAAAACCTTAATTTTATATCTATATAGTTAGATTATTCTATATACGCGTTGAATTAAACCATTTATGAAAAAAAAAAAGATACACTCAATTGTAACTGATGCTACAATAACTGATATTAAACAAAAATATCAAAGCAAAGAAAATAACGAAGAATCAGGTGGCTCAAGGTATAGATCCATTATTTGTTATTGATATTTTTGTTTAACGAATATTCACATTTTTTTTGTCAGTTACCAAGATAATAATTCTGATGGGAACTCGAAGTCACCGGATGTATGTGTAAATTTTTTTTTTATGACCTTTGATGTTCATGTCATTGAGATAAAATTGATCTAATTGTCAAATTTATATGGGTATATCACCTAGGACACATGCAATACATCTTACAATTTCAAAAGACAAGAGATAGATTACAATTAGGAACGAATGTCAAAAAGGCAACGTCGATCGGAAACAACAAAACAAGTTGATAATAACGATCACAACAATTTTGTTGAAGTATGTCCATCTGCCGAAATTTGTAAGAAATGTTGGTCGAGAATAAATTACTTCGAGTTGGGAGACGATGATTTGTCCGATGACGAATATGAAATAAGGTACTAAATGGTTTTCACCAATAATTCCAAATCAATCATTTAATATGAATCATTTTATTGAAAACAGGTTGATCGAAGCCAACCTTGTTAATATTAGCTCAAATCGTTCCCTTACGGATAAAGATCTTTTGAAAATATTAAAAGAACAGGCAAAATCTAATCCATTCCCAAATGTCAACATTACCGGGCTAAAAAATTGGATCAAACAAAATTATTTGGTAAGCGCATGATTGTGTATATCTTAAATTTATTAATTAGATATTTTGTTAATTTCTTAATTTTCTTTTAGCGTGATATCGATAATACATTATCAAACCTTCGAGCCACCACAGAAATTAAAGAGTTTGACAAAAACCAATTCGATCTTATAAAACGGATCCTTGAATATAAACTCGCATTTAAAGGCTGGGCATGGAAATCAACTTGAAGTATCATTAATGGACGAAACACTTACACATCAACAGTCATCTCTCGGGATTTTGAATTCCTAAAGCTATGTTTTCCGGACCTGCTTGTTTCACGTTAAATGAAGACAATAAAACTCACTTTCATATATACTGATCTAACAAGCTTTATTTTGACAGGAATGGGAACGATATTCCGTCTTCCAAATGGCGTCGTGAGATGGCATATGGTACTGACGATGCATGCAAGGCTGATGGCATCCTTTTTAACTACAGACCCCCGCCAAAAGTTTCCGAACACCAAGTTTAAATGCAAATAAATACATCGTTATGTCACATGACCAAATG